CCCCCACCCCTCGGCTTCTGGGGCAGGGCCCCTGGGGGTGCAGTGTGGGGGGAGGAGCTGCCCCCGTGTCCCCAGGGAGGGCTCTGGGTGTGTGGCTGGTGCCGAGGGGGTCCTGCCCCTGTGTCCCCATGTCCCTGTGTCCCCATGTCCCTGTGTCCCCATGTCCCTGGGTCCCCATGTCCCTGGGTCCCCATGTCCCTGGGTCCCCGTGTGCCCGTGTTCCCATGTCCATGCATCCCTGTGCCACTGTGTCAGTGTGTCCCTGTGTCCCCATGTCTGCATCCCTGTGTCCCTGTGTGTCCCTGTGTACCCCTGCATCCCCGTGTCCCCGTGTCCATGCATCCCTGTGCCACTGTCTGTGTGTCCCTGTGTCCCTGCAGCCATGGACTGTGCCCCCATACGCTTGTGCATCCATGTGTCCGGGTGTCCCTTGTCCATGTGTCCTTGCATCCATGTGTCCATGTGTCCATGTATCCACATTCCTGCCTCGGTACCACCATGTGTCCCTGTACCCACACAGCCCTGTCTGTGCATCCCTGTGTCCGTGTGTCTGTGCATCCATCTGTCCTTGCATCCTCGTGTCCATCTAGCAGTGTATCCCTGCATCCAAGTGTCCGTGTGTCCATGTGCCTGCACCACTGCATCCCTGCACCTGCCATCCCGATATCCTGTTATCCCGAAATCCCTATATCCCCTCATCCCTACATCCATAGATACTTACAACCCCACATCCCTAAATCCCTCATCCCTATATCCTTATATCCCCAAATCCCTAAGTCCTCACATCCCCACATCCCTGTATCCCCACATCCCTGTATCCTCACATCCCTGTATCCCCACATCCTTGTATCCCCACATCCCTGTATCCCCACATCCCTGTATCCCCACATCCCCACATCCCTGTATCCCCACATCCCTGTATCCTCACATCCCTGTATCCCCACATCCCTGTATCCCCACATCCCCACATCCCTGTATCCCCACATCCCTACATCCCTGTATCCCCACATCCCCACATCCCTGTATCCCCACATCCCTACATCCCTGTATCCCCACATCCCCACATCCCTGTATCCCCACATCCCTGTATCCCCACATCCCTGTATCCCCACATCCCTGTATCCCCACATCCCTGTATCCCCACATCCCTGTATCCCCACATCCCTGTATCCCCACATCCC